CCTATAGTCCTAGCTGCTCAGGAGGCTGAGGTGGGAAATTCGCCTGAGCCTAGGAGTTTGAGGCTGCAGTGAGCTATGATTGCACCACTGCACTCCAGCCTAGGGGACAGAACAAAATCCTGTTACTCCCCTCCCAACTCCTCCCCCCCAAAAAAGCAAAAACCATGAGTTTTTTAAGGCTGCCAAGTGGCCGTGTTAATCAGTGTTCAAAGAATGTTAAATGCCACTTTTAGGACCATTAGCTGTTACACACTTCATGCTTCATAATGAGGTGTCTCACTTACTGTGCGTTTAATTAAATACATACACAAATTTAGGAATGAGGACATATCCATGGGCAAGGCCTGCGTACTCCCCGCTGAAGTAAATGCAAGAGGAGAAACACATCCTGCAGAGAAAAAGAAAGCCATATAAAATCGAAGTCCCACCCCTGATGCCTGGGGGCATCAGACTGAATTTAACATGGTAAATGGCGCAGCTGGTGTAGAAAAAAATAATCATCCATTTGGAGATGAAGAGCAACGCAGACTTGGTCACGGTTCTCTATAAAACTCATGTTTTTAGATTTGCAGGTAATACAAAGAAAAGATACCTATAAATCCAAGTTATAATTATTTTTTATTGCTTTTTATTTGTCTCAAAATTACTTTTCAGTTAAGTCTGGTGATTTGACTTAAATATTTGAGACTTACTATCCCTCCCACCCCATGAGTTGTTTCTTTTCTCTCTCTTTCTCTTGTTTTTTGAACCCAGGCTGGAGTTCAGTGGCACAATCACGGCTCACGGTAGCCTTGACCTCCTTGGCTCAAGTGATCCTCCCACCTTAGCCTCCTGAGTAGCTGGGACCACAGGTGTGCGCCATCATGCCCAGCTAATTTTTTAGTGTTTTGGTAGAAACAAAGTCCCACTATGTTACCTAGGCTGGTCTCAAACTTCTGGGCTCAAGCAAGCCTGCCACCTCAGCTTCCCAAAGTGCTGGGATTATACCTCTGAGCTACTGCACCCAGCTATAAGTTGTTTTTTTAGTAGTGGGCATACAGTTTACCATTTGGGATTGGTCCAGATGCCCAGACTGAGTTTGTTTATTTCATTTGATGTGGTTGGAGCATCTGCTTTTTTCAGTCCGTGGCCTGGCACTCTCAGAATTGTTTATTGGTTTCAACAATTAGGAATGACAAAAGAGCACCTATGCTTTGCCTTTCCAGTGCTTAAAAATTTTTTTTTTGTTTTAAATTTTTGTGCGTTCATAGTAAGTGTATATATTTATTGGGTATATGGGATATTTTGATACAGGCATAAAATGTGTCATAATCACATCAGGGTAAATGGGGTATCTCTCACCTCAATCATTCCTCCTTTGTGTGACAAACAATCCAATTATACTCTTTTAGTTATTTTAAAATATACAGTTAAGCTATTACTAACTATAGTCACTCTGTTTTGCTATCAAATACTTTTGAAGAAGTGCTTTTATACAGGTTCTCATCCGTGGACTTTAAGAAGGTGGCAGCTTTTTCATATACCTAAAGTGCTCCAAATGCCCTTCTGTTCGAAGAGAACAAGCCGATATCCCTTGGCCTGTTACCATACTCCAGGTCCTCTAGATTTCCCTACATTTCTACTTCATTGTGATTTACTCAGTTGCTGCTAATATTTTCTTTCTCTTCAAGAGTCAGAATATTCTCATTTGCCATGGGAAGAGATGTTGGTGTTCTGTTTTAGTTATCACTTTACCATATCTTTTCTTTGCAGACCCCATATCATGTGAACCTCCTCCTGGCTGGCTATGATGAGCATGAAGGGCCAGCGCTCTATTACATGGACTACCTTGCAGCCTTGGCCAAGGCCCCTTTTGCAGCCCATGGCTATGGTGCCTTCCTGACTCTCAGTATCCTAGACCGATACTACACACCAAGTAAGTATTAACACTCTAGGGAGGGAGCAGTGGCAGAGCCCTGCCCTCAGCTGCTTCCCAGGTTTGTCCACCCTTGGAGTTGGGTGGCAGGGCTTGAATAGGATACATCCTAAGAAGCACAAGCAGGTCCCCCTCTGGAAGCTTCACTCTTCTGTCAGTCTTCCAAAAGCTGATGTAAGTCCCATTTTTTGCCAGGCAAAATGAGATAGTACGTATCTCTAGAGCTGGGTTTTGTTTCGAAGGAGGTTTGGAATAGATGTCATAGTGAATAAAACATTTTTATTGGGTTCTAAAGTTCTTCAGTTCTAAGAGTTCAAGTTTTTTCACTTATTTTGCTTTGCCTAGATGCTTATTGGCATCTCAGTAAAGGATGAGTGGGTAAAGCAAGTAGCTGTATATTTGTTTTGAACTTGCGAGGATGAACAGGTCCCCAGCATGTCAACTGAAGGTTTCTTTGCTTAAACATCAAAGCTTTCTAAGGCTACAAATCTGAACCTTCCCTTGGTTGTCACCCAATGGCTGCCTCCTCTTGAAAGAAAAAGCTGTCGCTCTGCTTGTCCATAAAGCGTCAGCTTGGCAAAACTTCTGATACAGGGATGCTTTTTAAAAATTTTATTTTGTAATTGACAAATAATAATTGTACATATATTCATAGAGTACATCATGGTGTTTCAATACATGTAAACAGATCAGGGTAGTTGGTATATCGATCATCTCAAACATTTATCATTTTGTGTTGGGAACATTTAGTATGCTCCTTGTAGCTATTTGAAACTATATATTGTGAGCCATAGTCATTTTACAGTGGTATAGAACAGTACAGTACAGCTTATTCCTCTGTCTAGCCATAATTTTGTAT